AAAAAGATAATGCAAATCTTGCTGGATTAAGGCTTAAATAATAGGAGTTAGTCTCCAGTTCTGATTTTGTACCCACTATCTTGTGATGGCATCACATTTGCCACAACAATTGTCAACATGTTGTTCACATTCTCAGCCATGAATAGCCTACTCAGTATTCATTATTTCTTTATTAGATAAAGGATTGGCTCATGGCTGTGCTCAGACTGAGCCTTTATTTGATGTCAGCTACACACTTAAAATTTCATGGCTACATCTTGTGCTGTTGGACAAACCCACGTTCAGCTGCTTTCATGGTAGTTTTATCTACAGCTGGTGATGCAAGGGGCACATTTTACTCTGATGGCACTCTAAGGGAATCTGAAAAACAATAGCCAGTATGCTTTAGAGGAAAGGCAAAAAAGGGCATCTGGACTTTAAACTTGGAACCAACAGGAAATGTAGAGATCCATAAGGAAAGTTGTGTGTATGAGCTGTGTATGGGAATGCATTTATCCAGTCTATTTAAGGTGTTTCCAACAAGAACAACATGACAGCATGGCAGAACTGGCCTCAAGAAGCAAATACGTTATAAGTAAGGATTATTTCATGAATCAAAATCAATCAGTGCCTCCCACCTAGCCAACTTAGAATCAACATTTTTCTTCAAAGTAAAATCATTTCATTACCTTTGACATAACTATGTGAAATTTTACCTTAAAAATGTGAATATTTTCTGAGTTACAATCCCTCAAAGTACATATTGGATGGTTTTGTGCTTTTTAATTTACAGTTTAAAGTACGGGAGATGATTCTGAAGAAACCACATTTAAGCCTTGTTAAAAATCGCAATAGAATCACCTTTTCAACCACTCCAAGTGACACAATGCGAAGCTAAAATCTTTTTGTTTATCAAAAATGTTTTTTTAATAACCAACTCTGAACATTATTCTCATGGGATATATTATAGTTTCAGTGACAAAACTAGGCAAATTTAATGTCTATCACATAGAGTAGCAGAAACAAGCATTGGCACACTGGACGTTTTATTTACTTTCAGGCAATCCACTGGTGAAAACTTCAGAAGGTGCCTTTTGGGAAAAACTTCCCATGGATCACACACCGTGTGGGATACTTGGCTGGTCAAAACATGCTGTTGAATCTGAAAGCTCTCATTCCAACTCTCCTTTTGGCACTAGGCTCATCTTATAGCCATGATTTCCTTAAAGCTTTAGGTGATCCTGAAAAGAAGGTCCAGAATCTTTGGAATGAGGATGCAGAAGATCATCTTGATCACAGATGCTTCTTATGAGAGGTCTTGTTAAGCTGCTGACAGTTTTCTTGTGGGAACCATGGCACGTCTCTTTGCGTTGCCTAACTAAACTTTAGAGAACAACATCCAGTTGGTGTGACACTCGTACTGACCTACTGGCTCATTACTCAGATTTTTTAAATTTACAATAAAACTCATTAAGATACCAAAACTACCACTATTGCACTTCTCTAAATAATACTGAGACTTTACAAAAATACACTTTTAATTTAACCGCGGTGCATAGCTGGAGGTGTCATCTGTAGTCTCGGCACTTTGAATTTATTAGATGTGGGCTATTTCTGGCTCAGATAATAAGCCATAATCATTCCTCACAAAGCTGAGACGAAGAAAAATCAGTGAAATTAAATCCATTGCATCAGCCTGGCCAGTCATAGAATTTCAGTGCATTTGCAATCGTTTAAACTAGGTTGTCGATATGTCTACGTGAGTTTTTCTCTGAATTGGACAACTCCACGCTATGCTGCTGAAAATATAGCTTTGGTATAATTTAATCCTTCTTGTTTCCAGAAATATAAATATATATAAATATATATATATAAAAATATATCGCAAAAGCAATCATGTTCCGTCCTTTAGGAAAAGTTCATTCGATACTTTTAAGACGCAAGGACAGAATCAGAGTAGAAGACGCAAAAGGTCATTCGTGTTTGCGAAACACTTACAGAAGAACCTAAAAAATGGCCTTGCATTGTGTTTCTGTTGTGTGTGCGTATGTAAGTCAGTAACGCCTCTTATCTGTCCGCACATACGCACAGGCTGCTGCCTTGAGACAGAAGGGTCACACAGTTAACCATTGTTGGTGTGATGATGGACAGCAAGCTGAAGGCACAATGCACAACACAGTGATCTGTGGGGGCTGGCATAGACCAGCACCACTTTCTTTCAATACACACACACACACACACACACACACACACACTGAGAAAAATAAAATAGCACGGACCCTGCTGGATTTTGACAACACACAGAAATCCTCTGACTTTTACTTACATAAGTTTGCCTTTTGACCTGCAGTGGCCTATACAGTAGAAATGACTGGCTGTGAACCCATGCATGACAGCCAGAAGAGGTGAACAGAGCGAACTGGGAGGCAGTTCTGATACTGAGGAGAGAGGACTGTGTGGGAGGAGAGGATTCAGAGCTTTTCTGTCAAGCTAAACAGAAGAAAGAATACAAAAACTGGACAAATTGTTTCTCTGCTATACACTGGATTTGAAAGACATTCAGACCGCTCTTCTGCTTGGTATCGTGTTGTTAAATTCATCTTAAAAGGATAAAGTGGTCATTCTTGTCCACAAGTTTACACTGCAGTAAAAACACGTTTTTTTCTGCTGAAGAATAAAACAAAACAAAAAAAATCCAAATTCTGATTTACTAAAATATTCAGACCTTGTACTGTGGCCCTCCTAACTTTGTTCAGGTGCATCCTGTTTGCTTAAGACTTTCCCCACATTGCATTTGAATGGAGTTCTCGTTTGATTCCAAAACTAGGCTTCATTTTGAACACAGTATTGCTGAAATGCCAAACAACATCTGTGGGTGAGACGTGAAGATGCATATGGTGGCCCTTCAAATTCTACTCACAATTCTTCTAGCTTAACGCTATGCATTAGCATGTTGCATACATTTATTCCAATGACTACTTAGCTGTCTGCGGTCTAACTAGATAACAATTATCCCTAACCCCAGGCAACCAAAACATGCCAGAAAACAAAAGAACACTTTTTAATCAGAGTACAGCATCGAGTCAGTTAAACCTCTGAGATATTGACCTGGTCAATTAAGTAGCAGAGAGGGTTTTTAATTAGTTTCAGCTGCTTTGGTGTTGATGAAATTAACAACAGGAGGGGCAACAGTGAGACAATCCCCAAATACAAATGGTTTTAGGGGTGGAGGCCACTAATTGTTTTTTTTCCCCACTAATTTGGCATTTGGCTAGGGTCTGCGGTAATACTACTGGTAACACAAGGCAATACCAGGGCCCTACAGTGATGCCACAGGTGGTCTAGCTCCTCCAGCATGTTCCATTGCCAGAAGGTTTGCTGTTTCTCCCAGCACAGTCTTAAGAGTATGGAGGAGATTCCAGGAGACAGGCAGTTACTCTAGGAGAGCTGGAATGGACTTAACTCATCAGCAGGACTGATATCTGGTCTTTTGTGCAAGGAGGAACAGGATGAGCACTGCCAGAGCTACCAAATGACCTCCAGCAGGTCACAAGTTGTGAATGTCTCTGATCAAACAATCAGACGCAGACTTCATGAGAGTGGCTTTGAGGGGCTGACGTCTGCCCTGTGCTCAGTGCCCGGCACCGTGGAGTCCGATTGTCATATGCTGGTGCAGTAGGTCCTGAGTTTCTCCTGGTGCACAACATAGCCTGGCCTCATGTGGCAGTATGTTTGCAGGTACTTCCTGGAAAATGAAAAAACTGATACCAATGACTGGTCCCCACCCTTTGCCTGACCTGAATCCAATAGAACACCTCTAGGACTTTGTTTCCATCCATCCAGTGCCACTAGGTTGCATCCCAGACTGTCCAGGAGCTCAGTGGTGCCCCAGTCGAGACCTGGGAAGATAGCTCTCAGGGCACCAACCATCATCTCATTAGGGGCATCCTCTGGTATTGTCAGAGCTCTACAAAGGGACCTCATGAGTGTCGTTATGAGTTGCTGAAATTAAATTTTGAAAAAATGGACTAGCCTCCCGTGTAATTTTTTCACTTTGATTTTCAGGGTGTCTTTGAATTTAGCCCTCTGTAGGCTGATTATTGTCATTTCCATCAAACAATGTTGCATCATTTGAAACAGTACCCAGTCCATATCAGTATAGATATCCAGCCTGTTTTTTTCCTACTGAAATCTCATGTATATTCAAAATGCTCCTTTAATTTTTTTGGTCCGTGTAGCAAACTGACATGAGAATGGCATCAATTACCTCATCTAACGTCCCGCAAGAATTTATTAGCATATTTCACAAAATGTCAGACTAATCATTTAAAAGAATTGCACCTTAATGTAGCGCCTTTATGCCGTTAACTCAGAATAATAATGGAGCACTAATCTGAGATCTGTTCACTAATGTGACAGATTGTTGATCTACATTTCAGAGCTGGCAAACATTATTTCACCCACAAATATTAAAATTTGCTTGGCCAATGTAGTAAGGAACTATGTGCAAAAATTACAACCAAACAAACAAAACACTGATATCCCATAACAAGATACAAAATTTTTTATTTCCAAATATATCCCTTTGTTCCCTATGGACAAATTGTCCTTGATAAATTAATCAAAACACATAACACAGATCTATTAAAATCGTCACTGGGGTCTCAAACAGGTCTCCACATGAAAAAAAGAAAAGGACTGATTGTAATAGTATGTTTTTGTTTTAACAGCAAACATGGTAAAAATGACTCGGGACTCTTCTGTGTTGTTAGCAATGCAGCTGAACTGATGTGGTGAAAAGCGTGCACAGTAGAAGGAGTCGAGAAGAATCCTGGGGGAAAGAATTCTTCACCATTTTGTCAATATTCTCACATTCTGCACACACACTCTCTTCAGGTTAATTTTACCTTTGTACCCCCTTCTGTTTTCCTTTAAAGTCTCCTTTCCACATGGCAGTGATTAGTGATTACAGTATAAACAACAGATATAAGGATAAAAAAAAAGAAACCCCCAAACCCCCCCCACCTTTTTCATTCCTTCAGTATGTGCTCAGAGCTGGAAGCTGATTTTGAGCACAAGGACAAGGTTACAGGCCCCATGAGAGTGTGTCGACGGTGTCGCGTTACACTGCCGATGCCTCTGACAATATTGTGCCTTATTAATCATTGATCTGGTTGCTGGTGTTAATTTCAGTGCACTGGAGTTCACAGTGCTAGGGCTGATGAGACGCAGGCATTTTTGGGGGCAATGAACGTGCCACACAAAGGTTCTAGAAAAAAAACATGCTCCGAGAGGACAAAAATCAACCACTGAATATGAAGGACGGGTCATAGGAGTGATTGAGAAAGACGAATGTTAAAGATGCTGACTGTTTTTGTGTTGAAGCTAAGATCCTGCCTGGAACCACATGTAACTTGAGTACTTGGCATTTTTCAATATAGAGAAAAATCACCAGTCTGTAACATTATGGCCCTTAGAGAAATAACAAGTGGTGATAAACAATCACAGCTGCTGTACACTGGGACTACATAATCAGTCAGATTACATAGTACTCAGCAGAAAGCCACTGGACAAGCTGAGCAGCCCAAATTGACCATGTTTCGAAAACTACAATAACATGTTTTTTTCCCTTTCTTAAGAAAACTAGAAAAAAAAGAGTCCAGAAACTTCACTCTAAATGAGCCCTCCATGTTCATTTAGAGTGAGGCTCAGTTTATTATTTACGCTTTACTGAAGACCGGAGGAATCTGAAATAGAAATTACAGGTCAGAGGTGTTGCACCACACTTTCCCGTCTGAGTCAAGTTAGTTTTAGAGGAAGGGATGACGTCCTGTTGCCATTCAGTGTAAGGGGAAGGAAAAAAAATTGTCCTCCTGCACTTGTCCTCTGCTGTCCGCTGCAGAGAGGAATCTGGAGAAATGGAGGCGAGACGAAGACAGACAGAGAAAGAAAATATCCATTCGTCTAGCAGCGTCTGTGCCCTTTAGTTCGTCCGGAGCTGGTAATCTGCCAAGAGACGTAACAGCAGAGCATTAACGTGCAGCTTGCTTCCCCTCAGTGCTCTTGCACATCACTACCACTTTATAATGGTGCCATTAAATCTCAAAACAAGGTGTACAGAATAATTACGATGCACGTGTGCGCCCCCGGAGGTGTCACAAAAAAGATGAAGCAGAAGTATGCGAACATCCCATTTGCATATGTTATGCGCTTTTGTTTTGACTCTTTTGAACTTCAACTTAAGGTAAATATCAGTGGCACAGAATACAGAGTGTGTGTTAACTGAACCATGCTCATATATATATATTAAATTAAAAAAACAACAAAAAATCCTGACAACACAGCCTTTGAATAGTTTCTCAGAGTTTGGCACATAATACTTACAAGACGGTGAGTTAAATATCAACAACTCAGTGAAAGAGGTGAGTTTAGGGTGTTCCCAGGGGTCAGGGTGAGCACAGATATGTTGGTAATAGCAGCAAGAAAAAAGGGGGATTAAATATCTGCTTAACTAAAAGTAGATGGTTCATTTACAAAGTAAGAGTGGAGAAAGTAAGACAGGCAGGACCTGAGGAGGGAAGAGGGATATATTGGGTAAAGGATGTTGAAGATGGAGCTGCCCTGAAGGAGGAAGAGGAAGACCACAGAGAAGATTCTCTATGGATGTAGTGAAGGAGGACATGCAGAGGGTTGGTGTGACAGAGGACGATGCTAGACAGAGGGTGAGACGGGGGCAGATGTGGTTCCACTGAAATAAAGCAGTCCTTTATGATATCAAGAACCGGATCCAGTGACAACCTGGATCAGTGATGTGTCATGTTAAACATCCAGCTAATGTGCATCATCACCTGATCAGTCAGATATTAGTGGTCATCACTTTGACTTACTGCTGTACAGTACAAGCAAATGCCTGTTCATCAATCATTAATGAGCCACTAGCTACAGTACACAGCATCAGGGTATTATTTAATCAGTGTGAGAGTGTCTGCCTGTAGTGTCGAGTGAAATGTGATCGCGCCCGTCTCCCTCTGTGTGCTGCTGATGTTAACAGTAAGAGAAAGGGAATAGCCATCTCTCCAAGTCACCCAAACTTCGTCCCCTTTCCTTCTCTAACTTGTTCTCGTCTTTTCTCCTTTCGATCCCTCTCGCTTTCTCTCCTTTGCTTCTCTGCTGATGCTACAGCAAGGTGATCGTAACCTTGCCATTTGCCAAGTTGCCACCCTGGGAGCCTCCTGGCACCCTGTGGTATCATTCAACCTCTCCATCCCCTGACTCATCCCTGACAAAGCCAGGTAATGGATATGATTGATGTAATGCAGTCAGGTTCATTCCTGGGGCAGATAGCAGGTATGAAACTTGAAGATTTCTGGCGGTTGTCCAGCAGAGGTACTGGACTCCCATCTCCATATCATTACCATTTGCGTCCCCACTGAAACCCGTGAGCCTGTGTGGAGGACTTTGCTGCAGTCTCAGCAATACACTGCAGCTTTAAACTGACCTGTTCAAATGACAAGTGTGTGTTTGGGGCGAAGGTGTTGCTTTTTATTTCAACATGCTTTGCAGGTAACATCTCAGGTTAATGGGATGAAACAAGCTCAAAGCTGACAAACACTTCTTGGTCCTTGTCGCCCTTGTTGTCATCAGCAGACGGATGTGGGTTCATTCCCAGGGCAGCAACTGAATCTCAAGATCCCAGGTGCTAACGTTGCTGCAGAAATTCGGCTGTTTCTGTTCAAAGTTGGACATTAAACACGCTACCTAAGCCTCGAAGAAGCCAGAAGGTTTCTATCCTTGGCAACCTGCATTTTGTCACTCTAAGCCCCTGATGACATGGCTCGTGGTGATAGAGCCAGGTAATAGATATGATAGATGCTATCCAGCTGGGTTCATTCGAGGGACACACACTGAATACTGATGCAGTAAGACCGGTTGTGACTCTGATCTCTCTTGGGAATTTACTCCTCTGTCTTTCTAGGAACACCAACTTGGAATCCAAAAAAAGTTCAAAATATGCACCGTGTAGTCTTCCGACACTTGATGTTAATTGTCGTGATGGTTTTTTCAAATTAGCTAATCTGTGGATGAGATGAGTCACACAGTCCTGATGAAGCAAACTGTGTTTTTTCTTTTTTCCTCAAGCTTATAATGACCTTAAAAAAATGCTTTTCAGTTATCTTTATCTGAAACCTTAACCACCTGAGGTCCATGTTGTCACAGGTCTGCTACCCCCAACTATCTTAATGCTATTATTTGGACAAAGCTAAGAATGAGTATTTTTGAAAATTGTGAATATGTTTTAAATTAGAATAATTATTCTTGCTTCCCTGATTGCCTAGACTTTTGAGAACAATTTCATAAAAACAAAAATGATTCTCGATATGATGACTACTTTGACTACATTATTACTTAATGAGAGAAATGCAATTTTAAATCCAAGGGCTTTCAAACCACAGATGCAGACATTTGCAGCTCTGTCGTACATGAAAGTTTCATCCTTCAAAAAGTATTTGTAAAATTCTCTTAAACTTCATCAACCGTGCTGCCAAATCAGAGCAGCAGCATTTCCAGTTAAAAAGTGGTCCTAAGTGGCCAATCTGCAGTGTTTGTTTTTTAAGGGTGAGTTGTAATGAGTTCCATTTCCCTGCGTTATTTTCTCACCTCCACTTTGCGTGATGTAGCGCACCCATGGCAACGCCTGGTAACCACTCTTCTCTATGATCTTTAGGTAGCGCACCTGGGGGAACATTGACATTTTAACTACAGTTATTTCACTCATTCAAACACATTATGAACCCTCATTTTATTTAGTGGTTTGACATTACAGTTTACTATAAACAGACTGTGCGCTCAGGTAGCTTTCTGTCAGTGCATTTACAGCAGATATAAATGCCTTCTATCTAGCGAAAACCACAGATCTCCACATTTTGATTGTTTTTTCTTCTCACTAACTGAAGAAATAAAAGACATTCTGAAGAACTAAAAAATGTCTCATTTTTAATGACATGTGAACTCTAATGTAGTCAGGTAGAGCTCATTTATAAATGACCTAAATATCAAAGACATTGGAATGTGAAGGTAGTTTTGCTCTATGGTTTAAATTCAACAAGGAGTGAATTGAGACAAAGTGTGTAAGGAGATCGTTGCCATAAACTTAAAAGATGACTTAATAAGTTATCCATTTACTCCAGTAATAATTTTTACTTTACAGAATGCAGCTGTACAAGGAGGCAGTGAAGGCAAACGGTGCGTTGTCATCTCCTACCTGAATCCCAGACACAGTGAAATAGGGTATCTCAAAATTAACTGTGATTGGTCTCTTTGCCTCAAGCTCGTCGCTCTCCACGCTGGGCAGCCCAAAGTGTGCTCGCATCACGTACTCCTTACCCCCCTAGACACCCAAACAGAAAAGAGAAAAGGCCACAGAGCTGTTATTGGGTCTGTTAGGTAAACTCTTAAATTTAGGATGATGCCATTTATAAAGCTCATGTCTCAAGGGGGCGTCCCATTCCAGTTAATACACACAGCCACACGAGGCAACTACCTTATCATATCAAGGTGAATCTGATATAGTTTTTTTTTAGGATTTAGCATATACTATATCAAACACATGCAAGTTTGTTCTCTGGCTCGACTTTCTTGAAGCCTCCTATTCACTTGGTTTATAATATAAACCACATAATATAATATATTTACTGTTGACTTTAACCTGGGTGTTCCTGTTACACCCAAAGTCGACTAGGATTGGTTCCAGCTCCAGCCACCCGAGGACCTTTTTAAATAATAAGCAGCTCAAGCTAACGGTTGGATGGATTGATTTTAGAGTGATGAAGCGACAACTGGAGCATTCTTGTTCATTTGTTAAAAAATAAGAAAAACAAAAAACAAAAACGAATCTATTCTGCTTCACTAGTACTGTGCAAGTGAATTTCTTTTTTTCTGTCCAAGTAGCCTGGCAACAAAGGAAAAAAAACAACACAAGTGTCATTACAATTTTGAAACGCTGTTGTATGTGACATCACCTTTGTCCGCCTGAACCCTGCCCACATCGAACCGAAGAGAAGAGCTCAGGCAGAAGCCCAAACACAGAAACACTCTGCTTTAAAATAACTATTCTAACTGTGGCGGAAAATTGTGCATTCATGCAGCAACCCATCTGTCACAGGAAGAAGCTGATTAAGCATAATAATCATTTGGTAATGTCGTTTCTAAACTTCAATAAACCGACAAACCGAAATAACTGCAAACAAAAAAAAAGCCTCATTGTTGAACTGATTATGAAACATTTTTTCTTGTCATTATACGGTTGCTATGGGAAACCTTATCAGCTCTGCCCTCGCTTAAGGCTGATAAGAAATATCCAATAAATGATAAATATGTCAAAGATACATATATTCATGCTTATAAAATAGCTGAAGGCAAATTGACTTATAAATGCTGCATAAACATTTCTGGTGTTTATAAAAACAGAGTCAGACGTAGCTGGGTGGAGCTCACAGCTGGTTGACTGTGGATGAGCGCTCTCTATAACCGCTTTCTGTTTGTTTCCTCAATCTAAACCTCGAGACCGGAGAGAATACGTCCTTTTACAGGGTACAAAGGTTGCGAGTGATGGAAAAATCCTCTGCACAGTCACACGCAAGTTAGTCAACTATACTTTACAGCTGCAATTGCTAACCCTCCCTGACATATTAGATGTGTAATGAATTACAAAAGGGGATATCAAGACTTGACAGATAAAAGAACCTCAGCTTCAAGCCAGTTAAATTTCCTTTGAGGAGCCTACAGAGCAGAAACTGACACAAACTGAAAACAAAGTGGAAAATAGGGGAGATAAGATGTGATTGTGTCTGGTTTTGTATGCTGGGAGGTTGGCGATAAAGTGATAAATGGCTGCTGTCTAATATTTGTCACAACACATCTTCATTTCTGACAGATATTCTGTTTCAGGATTATGTAGAAGTGCATCAAGCTGCTGCTGCTCTGCTTTCAAAGCATCACTTGGGAAAAGGGGAGCTTAAAAACCTCCATATATATATATAGTGGATCCATAGTTGGTCCTGAGCCACTACATTTAAAGCAAAAGCAGAATTTGCGCCATCTGCTGTAAGTTTTGAAAAATGGACACACGTGTCTAACATAGATCAGAGTATATGAATTATAGTATAAACAGGAAGCACTCTCAGAACGCAAACCTCGGTCAAGGCAGCTCACTCTCTGGGCAGTATTTACTTTTAAGGGACTAATATTGGATTTTGTATGAATAAAAGAATAAATGGAAAACACTTTTCCAAAACAGCTAAAGAATGTCTGTCGTTTTCAGTCTATTTGATTTAATCTAGTATTTATTGCTGCTTGTTGAGAAGCGCTATGCCTGTGAGAAAATATCAGTAATGACAACATAATATATTTTGTTTACAGGCCACACTAACAGGGAAAGATTTGATGTTCCACTGCACCACATTCTTCTCAGGCACCCACTTGGCGCTGCCTGTGCTGGTCTTGAACTTGGGTGAGTCAGCATCACTGGGCACCGGCACCAGAATGGACACGTTGTTGGCAGTGGAGCGGCTCTTAAACTGACTTTTAGCCTGCAGATGATGTCAGAGAACAGAGTTCAAGCGTCATTAAAGATCTTTATAACAAAAAGCACATGCACAAATTCAAATAAGACCTTGCAATTATGCAACAGTGTTGTTACTTTGCATCACCACACTGCGAACAAACAGATGGCAAACAGCAATCCATTGAATGTGTCATAAATTATAGATCAGCTTTAGTGAAGGCACTAATGCACTTTAAACCCAGATCAGCATATGGTGCATTTTACTCTATGTGTGTGCATTCATATATTTGTGTGTCATTCATCGTTACCTTAACCTTGATCTCCACGCGGCTGTGAGAGAACTTCTCAATCACACTCTCAATCCATATGAGAGGCTTCACCTGTCAGAGATCCAGAGGTCGCCGAGGGATTCAGAGAGTGGACACAAGGTCAGAAATGCACCGAGCGCACAATCGAGTGCATCGCTGCACACATCATAACAAGACAAACAGTGCTGAGGCTGTGCTTGCAGAAGGCTGTAAATAACATTCACACATCCAGTCACTTTATCCTGGTTTTCAAAGACTCAGGGGAGTGTTTGTCTTGGTTTTAAAGTCTCATCATGCCATCTCGTAGTAACTGGAATAATTATTTTATCCAGGTTTCCTAACAGTATTTGTTTGTGCAGAAACTATTGGCTGAGCTGCTGAAGACCAACAGAAGTACTTAAACATTTTGAATGAAAGGTGAGGTGCCCTTAGCCACTAGCTACCTGCTAGGCATGACATCAGCTAGTTTGAGTTTTGTTGGTCCTTGGTCCTTTTTAGAGCATCTTAATCAAAGTTAAATGTCAAATAATATGGCCTGATGTGCTGCTAACTGTACTGACATAAAGTTTGTGGTTTGATATTTCTTTACCAATAATCACTATTTATCTGTGTATATGTAATACACCAATACTGTCTTATGGGTGCACCTTGCTAACAAAGCTAAAAAAAAAAAAAAAAGGTCACTCCAACAAGGCTTAAGGCTTCAGCCCCACTGGGTAACATTGTGGAGGCTCCATCTATTTTTTATAAATACAGTCAGCGACTCAGATACAGTGATGTCCATTCAAGTACACTAAAGGAGTGAAAGTTTTACTTCTTTATTGCGATTGACCAAAAAGAGCTGGGTAATGTTATTTTTAAAACTGAGTCTTTTAAAGTGTTGGATGTTAACAACTTTACCAATTTACTATGACTGTGAAGATCAGTTATGAACAGCAAGCTTCACTATAAGTAGATAGCTTAATACAACAAAAATGAACATCAAAGAGTACAAAAACAATAAAATAAAGACACTTTTTGGGTTGTCATGTCATTTGACCTAATGTGAAAAGAATGTGCTCTTTTGATAACGTTTATGTGTCCTCACTGTAGTGTTGAGGCGGTAGGACATGAGCTCGCTCTCGCCGTCAGGGGGGATGAAAGAGATGGTGCGGTCGTTCTCAAAGCGTGACAGACGGACACACTGATGAAACTTCACATCCTCCAGCTCCACTGTCTTGCTCTTCTCTCCTGACACAAACACACACACAAAGATTGAGAGCTTTGTACACAGCCTTGGGGAAATCAAGGTCAAGGTAATGATGACTGACAAACATTCACTCCATTTCTCTCTCTCTCTCAGACAAACACACACTGAAAGCAGTGTGTTACCAGCTCACAGTGCCTTCTTCTCATCCTCCACTAAACAATTAGTTTTGCTGCTACACACAAGCACACAGTTTGTATTTAATACCTGCTGCCATCATCCCCCCAAATGAAACTCACTGATTTCTGCAGACATTCAAGCGATATGAATGACTTCTGATATAGTCACACCTGCACTGTATGCACTGCTGTTTTAGTTGTTTATAACAATTTATTTAGTATTTCAAATGTGACAATATTGCCTCCATGTATTCAGATTTTTTTTTTATGTAGCCAATTGCCCCCCAAAATATTAAAGTCACAAAAGCAAAACCATTAAAAAAGAAAATCCCTGAATAGACTCGGCACAAAAACACTCTCAAAGTTAAAGCTGCTACCTAGAGTGAACACACTTGCACTGTTGCAGTAGTCAGTTACACTGTAAGGGGAATCTCTTTCATGGCAGCCTCTGATGCCTGCTGGAGAACGCCTGATGCTCACCTCTGCCGTGGTTAATTGAGGGTGCAGAGTGGTGAAAAACTGCTGTAATGACTGTGGGCCTGTGAGCCTTCAGCTAAATCCCCCGTTCAATAGTGAGCTAAGGCTTCACCTGCTCAGAATGCAACCCCGGGACCAGCACTGAGGCCTGTCAGAGGGAATGCGCCTGCCTGTGTGTGGATGTGCGTATTTGTGTATTCTGTGTGTATTCTTCTTCACTGTCCTCCCTCGTGAGTTGGTGTTCGTGCATGTGTTTATGCATGCCCGTTTTGCAGATTTGTGTACTGCGCTTGTTTCTCTATTGATTTTGTGTGTGTCTGTGTGTGTGACATTTTATAATGTGAAAGTGGAGAAAGGTGGATGCCATGGAGAACCCAACACTCCTGGTCAAGAAAAAGCAGGAAACGCTTCCTGTTTGTGTCCTTCTATGCCACTACCATAGACACACACACACATACACACACACACTTGTATGCAGCGTTATCAAGACAAGCAATGAAAGGTCATACAGGATACTGTCTGTCATTCCCTGGACCTCGGGGCCCAAAGAAGAGACAGGTGTGAGTGCACATGCCAGAGGAGGATTGAAGATGCAGCAGTGTCCCCTGTGGTTCACCCTTACGGCCACTCTCAGCATGTCTTTAATGCACAGTAGCAGACAAGAGCAACCTAATCTGTTTTTCTGTCCACTGTCACACAGTGGGGGGAAAAAAGACGTTATAGTGACAACTGATAAATGCCTAAAGCATCTTAATGGTGCTTCGAGTGGCCAAAGGAATATTTCATCGCCTTAAATGTGAAGATTGGTTAGTCTAATGTTTGATGTATATTATTGTAAACAACATACCTCTCCATTTTTGATTGTCAGTTATAAACGTAAGTAATTAAAAGCTGTCACCTTGGGCATTTTTATGAGTCTTTGACATTTTGTGGAGAAACTGATTAACTAAGAAAATGATAAGAGTGCAAACTGATAACAACATAATTGTTAGTTGCACGCAAAGTAGCCTGCAGCTCATAATATGATTATATGGGCTGCTTTGAAAACGTCTGTCATTTTTACCCAATCCACACAGTCTCAAAACCTAAAACTCCACTGACTTTAAACAAGCCATTGAGGCCACTGAGAGAGAATTTTGAATTACTTAGAGAATATGCGAGCAGCTGTAGACATTCAAGGGATAGAAATGATTTTGTTTGCTTGCTTTCAGTCAGTAAATAACACAGGAGTGACTTGTGTTATGGTTATTTCAGCTCCGTGTGGTGACAGTTCTGGACTTCTACCAGCGGAGGGCAGCATTAAATGATTTATACTTCCTCTTTCTTTTTTTGTCTGCATCAAGCTGTGACTAAAAAGTACAAACCAAGCAACTATGATAATCCAATGACTGGGAAATGATATGTAAAATGTAACTGCAGGAGATGAGAGTGCAAAACACTTTTTAATATTTAACAGTGTGTGTGCGTGTGTGTTTGCATCTGCCAGTGCGTCTGTTTGATCATTATTTCTGATCATTATTTCTGAGGATATGCTATTTCCCAGACTCCTACACACAGCAGGGGGATTGTGGGCTGCATAGGATAGCCGCGGACCCTCACCTTTCATCTGCAGGGCTGTAGCCCGGGGTGAGGATTAACGCAGAGGCAAAGAGGGTAGACAGTGAAGGAGCCTTTCCCCTTCACTAGAAACAGTAGGGGGGGAAAGAAATGAAGGCAAAGCAGAGGAGGAAGAAGAGATGGAAGAGGAGGAGGAGGATGTGCAGGAGTAGGCGAGAAAAGATGTAGCAGTGGGAAACACCGGTGGAAAAATTGGTAGGCAGAGAGGGGGAGGTAGAGGTAGGAAGAGAGTTATGCATGGGATTTAGGCAGAAAGAGGAGCTAAAGCGTGAGGGTGAGTTCAAGGGGAGAGTGAAAAGCCAAAAGCTCAACCAGCACCAAACAAAGTAGAAAGTGTATCAAAAAGCAATAAAATATTCTACTGATCGTTTAGAGGCTTACTGTCATTTCATCAGTTACAACAAATAGACTGCATACTACACCGATCAGGCAAAACATTATGACTACTGACATATGAAGTGAATAACACAGGTTATCTCTTCATCCTGGCACCTGTTAGTGGGTGGGGTATATTAAAGAGCAAGTAAACATTTTGTCCCCAAATCGATGTGGACAAAAAGCTGGAAAAATGGGCAAGTGTAAGTCTACAGCATGTCCAAAACAACACCTCTTGTGGGCTGTTACTGGTCTGCAGTGGTCAGTATCTATCAAAGAGGTCCAAGGAAGGAACAGTGGTTGACCCACAACAGGGACATAGATGGCCAAGGCTCAGTGATGCATGTGAGGAATGAAGGCTGGCCCGTGTACAACTGTAGCTCAAATTACTGCAAATGTCAATGTTGATTCTAATAGAAAAGTGTTAGAGTACTCTTGACCACCGATGAAAGCAGGATAGCGCGCCCTGCCTCAAAGCAAAAATGGTTTAGGAATGGTTCAAGGAGTACAACAGCAAGTTTGAGGTGTTGACTTGGCCTCCAAATTCCCCAGATCTCATTCCAGTCAAGCATCTGTGGGGATGTGCTTGAAAAACAAGTCTGATCCACCTTGCAGCTCACAGGACTTAAAGGATGTGTTGCTAACATCTTGGTGGCAGATCCCACAGCACACCTTCAGGGGCTGTTTTGGCAGCAAAAGGGGGAGCAACACAATATTAGGCGTGCATAATGTTATGCCTGATCGGTACATAATAATGTTTAAAAGTTACTGTAAACACATGCAGGTCCAGCTCCAATTAAATTTCCCTCACTGACTTCAAGTGTTGCAACCCTTATGTGTGCTGGATGTTGTTTTTAAATGTATAATACTGAGATAAATCCACAGATATACAGGGATTCTGGTCATTTTTCATTCTGTCAGCTGCCTGCACGAGTGTTCAGCTCTGTAATAAAGGCTTCTAGTGACACAAATGGCTGTGGGTGACTGTTACTTACTGCCTGTGAGCTCAAACAGCACTTTGTCATTGAGGCCCAGTCGAAGTTCAGGCATCCCTGACAGGACCACTTTGAGCTTGATGCTACCCACTATTTCACTGCGCAGGACACTGCCACTGGCACTCACCTACAGAGAAGAAAATAAATTTTGACATTAGTTTGTTTCGATTCTGTGAATACATAAGCTACACAGTCAAATCTGCCCCTTGCAGCTGTGGAAGTTCAGTCTGATGATTACAATTACAATTTTCTTGAACCAAATACATATTCGTTATTTGAAGAATTACACTTTTCAGATATGTAGTTCCCAGAAGAAGAAAGCAACAAACCAATCGACCTAACCATTCAGAGGATGCACACAGTCTGAGGGACAAAACAGAAAGTCTTTTAGCATGCAGCGTAAGAACTGTAAGTAAAACACTGGTGAGGAAGACTAAAAAAAAAATGTTGGGGTGCTAGTTTCACTCACTGGGTGAGGAGGCAACCATTTACCACATGGCTAAAACCCAGCATCCTGGGTGTGAGTCCAACCCACAGCCCTGTGCTGTGTCTTCTCCTGCTCTACTCCTTACTACTTCAATAAAGCAGAAAATACCTCAAAATAAAAAAAGAAAGAAATAAAACTCTGTCAACATTTTAAAAAGTCCCTGTTCACAGAGAAGGAAGCGGTTACTGGTTTTTACACCCCTGTGTAGTGGTTGAACACCTCCACCAAATTAGTTTCCATGACTCATAACTGCAGTTGTAACTTGATTGTCCTTGAGGTGTTGCCTCAAACACGAGGCACATGAGAGAAGATCTGATTCTTTTGTGCATTTGAAGACGCAGCATGTTCACGTATTCAAACGTCTTCTTCTTTTGCTGCAGGAAATCTTAGACCTTAATAAAAATAGAAGTTCCTCTAATTGGGTCATGAAGCCTGACAACATCACATTTGCACACCGTGGTATTACTGTCCATTTAAGCCCGGTGTGTGTGTGGGGGGGGCTTCGGTTAGAATTTTATGCACATCTGGCTTTTTGTGAACTTTGTAGTCTTTGTTTTTAACCAAATAGTTTCCTTTACAATGAGGATTAGAACCTCCAACCAGCAATACTATCATCTCTTTGTGGCCTAAATATCTTCTCCTAGATTACTGTACTTTACACTGTTTCAAGATGCAGCACTAAAATGCTGAGGAGGGTCCAAAATTACCTTGATCCATGTGCAGATATTTATCTATATGTTTGTAGATATATATATATGTGTAGATGCATCATATGGACCAGAGGTGTTCTAATGGATTTAGATCAGGGTTGAGTGGGGACCAGTCAATGGTATCATTTCCTCCCTTCTCTGAGAACTGCTTGCATACTCTTGTCACATGAGGCTGGGCATTATCATACACAAAATAGAACCCAGGACCAGCGTTGCGTCTGACAGCGGGTCCAAGGACTTCATCCTGATTCCTAATGGCAGTCAGGGTGCAGTGGCCTAGCCTGTAGACATCTGCATGTCCCTCCAAGGAAATGCCTCTCCAGACCATCACTGACCCA